ATTAGCTCAGTGCTTCTGAAAATAAGCCATCAGTTTAATTCTGGCACGTAGCCTTAGTAAAATAGATAATAATGCTTTTTATGCATTTAAGCAAGTAAATAAAATAGTAGTGGCATTTTTGAGAAGTAGCACTTAACTACAGCATATTATACATGAATACCTACCAAAGAAAGCCCAAAAACAAACAAACAAAAATATCAAAGCTCACATCTTCTTCCCCTTAACCATCGCACTCTGCTTTTCTCTGAGTTCTCTAACTAGTTTACAACTATCCATATAAACACAGATTTTAAGCAGAACAGTAAATACAGGCTAGCTATTGAAAACTGCCTTTTCTTACAAGCTACGTGATAACTATGTTGTACTGTAACACAGCAGTACCGTTGTGTAACAAAACTGTAGAGTTCTACGTTAATAAATGTAATAGACCCTCTGCCATCACATTCTACTGATGAGGCATGGCTGACACTTTTAAATTAATGTTTTCTGGGAATGATATGAAAACCTAAGATTTTTAGAAGAACATTCATTTAAATGTAAAAATGAAAGTGAAAACATTTACCTCCAATTCATAGCTGCTAATTCATTTATATATTCAGCGCAGTACACTAAGCCTGCTGTATGACAAAAGAAGAATATTAGATTCAGTATTTCTTTTAACATAAGCTGCCATCAGTTCTGCCATGTATACTAAAGATGCGCACGTACTAGACATTAGAATTCCTTGATCCTTGGAAGAACAAATTACACATTTAATATTTAACTGCACAAAACCAATTCTGATTTAAATCATATCGTTAAATCATAACTATCCCATATATTTACTAAGAAATACAAAGTGATCACAACACATACACACTATATTACAATCAAACTTAAAACCTTGCTCATCCGAGCTTACAGAAAGAGCTCAGCATACAAATTACTTAAAAAAAAATAGTATTTTTCGCCAACAATCTTCTCAGTGACTGCTTCTAGGTTATGTCTGTAAAAAGAAATGCCAGCACTCCCCACAACTGGTATGGAATGAAATTATCATTTTAGATGTTATGGTGAGACACTGCTATATCTAACATTACCATCTGAAGTTAAGGTCTAATATACAAGCGTTTTGGCAAAATACAAACTTTGTTTGAAGTGGTGTATAGCAGAGTAGTCCACTGTAATCATGTGAAACCTAGCATATTCTTACTCAACAACAACACGCAATATGAAGCCATCAAGACAGTAGGAAAATTCAGCGCAACTGCATGTTTAACAGAAAAGCAATACAAAAAATTTTAGTTTGTTCTTGCATCATTTCCCACAAGAAATAAAGCAAAAAAACCCAGCTTCAGTGGCTAAAGATGACCTGCACAAGGCAATTAAATAACTAGTCTGGTGAAACGAAGGAGTGCTATCTTGTTTTGCCATCATCTGGATTATGTCTGATTGGAACTACACAGTATAAACATACCTATGCTGCTCGGCTGCCAAAGTAAATCAAAATGTTAATTTCATAATTTCCTCGGTTATTTCTGACTAGCTGCAATACAAAATTATTTACACTGCAGACATATCAAAAGTAGTTCAGTTTTTCAGGTACAAACAAGGCTTGAACTCAATATGGATATTTTTATGCACTCTTCTTGTTAACAGCAAGTTTACATGATATCGGGGTTAAAAAGCCAGCAATGACCACTTCCACTGAATTTTCTAATGCAGTTAGACCTTGGGCATTCAAACTAGTGTTAGTAACAATGGGAATACTTAGATAAAGTCTAAAGTAAACAGCACGCCATTGGAAATTCTGAATGTCTAATACTAAATTTAAGAAAGAAAGGCCTGTACTCTTATAGGGAACTTTCAGACCTAATGTAGCATAAACAGGGCATTGTTGTTTTGCCCTCTGTAGATCATTTTAAACACTTCAGTTACAAGTGGATGTAAAGAAACTACTACAGTTTATAGATTCCTTTGAGGGGGGGGTAATTAATGTTACTGAAATCTTACTGTTAACTGAGTTATTTGCAGCTTTGAGGAAGCTATAATTCCTCTCCCAATTTGACTAGTTCACTAAATGGTATTTTAAAAACCCAAGATAGTCTTCAAGTGGCTTTTTGCCTGCAAATCTCTTTCAATTGCTCATTCTTCCTCCACCACCTTGCAAGCACGACAGAACTGAGGGAGTGCAAAAATGCCTTACTCACCAGAAAATCCAACCCATGGCTGGAACCAAAGTACTGCTCATAATACATGGATCTAACTCAAATCCATGTCATCTTAATTAAGCCAAATACCCTCTGCAAAACTACTAGATCTTCAGCCAGTCAGCCATAAAGACACAGCTTTGGCTAGGCAAGACCACTCGTGGATTCTCAGGCTGAAGAGTGACACTAAGATAACACAAGCTGTTACTGCAATGTACCAAATCAGTCTTCCTCTTCCTCATGCCATTATTGCAGCTGTCAGCTGGGCACATGGTGAACCTGCTCCAAAAATAAACCCAGGTAAAAGCTGACCATATTCACTGAACTGCAGTATTTGAGTAAGGCAGAGTGGAAAGCAATTGCTGGCTCTCAGCAGATTTCTTGAGAAGCTGTGATACACACAGCACTTACCATGCAGAAACCTTACTTATCCCAGATCCTAAGTCACTACTTCATACAGTCTTGGAAACCAAACAAATACGTATTTATAGGTCATGGCAGCTTCTATAACAGTTTATCATGTATACACACACGCATTACTACAAGAGAAATACTAGTTTGCATGCACTTCACCTGCTGCGAAGTATAAAACCGTGCACGGTGCAAGTTAAGTACATGAAGGAAACCGTTATCAAGACTAAAAGAAGGTATTTGACGGTATTATTAGCTGCTTAGACAATGCACATGCCGCTTATCGCCCAGTTCACGGAAGCCTGAATACAGCACTCACCCATGCAGAGGAAGTGCCCCACTTGCACCCGGTAGTGCTGGAAAGAGACACACGTCAGGAGGAAGCAGAGGACGTGGAAAACCGCCAGCCCCACCAGCCAGGGCTCGGACCAGTCCGTCTTCTACGGACAAAACGAAAGCCCATGAGGCTATGTCAGGAGAAGGAGTGCCACCAGGCAGCTAGAGCGAGCACCTCTCCTTCTCCCGCGCCCAAACGACAACCGCGCTCGACAGCCCGCCCGGTGCCGACACGGGGAAGGAGCGCGCACCCCAGCGCCGGCTTCCCCCGCACACACGGTGGCCGGTGCCTCCTCCCCTCTCCCCGGGC